TATATTATGCATGATAGTTAATTAGATAATAATTTCAAAAGTCTTATAGTCAAACAAATGTTATGACATATATAATATCAGTAACTTTCAGAAAGATCATTTTTTCCCAAAATTTTCAGCTTAATCAAATAGGTACACATAAATTGATCTAAACGGAAGGAATAATATTTTCTACTTTACCAATACTTGAACCATGATTCGTTATAGTTTTCTTCCACTTCATTAAATCTCCGAAGGGAACATGACACAATCGGCTTTGTCCATGAAACGTATTTTTCGATCAAAAATATAAATATACTATATATTATATTAAATGTTGAATTTTCTTAACGTCTTATATATTTTCTTTTTATTTTATAATTGGAAAAATGTATAAGTATTGTTCAATTTATGCCTGAAATTTCAGAGACTCGTTTATACTATATTAAGGTTTTATTACCCTCTAAACTTATTTTATAATTTTTCATTCCTTTTCGACCTACGTGGCACTATCTTGTGACGCCAGCGTGAGTTGACATTTTTTTAAAAAAAAGTGTTGCGGAGGTAGAAAAGAATCAAAAAATTATTTATGAAAAAAGTTTAGGCGGTAATAGAACTTTAGTATAGTATAAATGTGTCTCTAACATTTCAGACATAGATTAAGAATACTTATGCATTTTCCTTTTTATAATTTAACTGAATTAAATAAAAATTCCGACTTCGTTATTATTAGACAAATTGAGAATAATTATGAGTCATCTTTTTAGGTAGAAAGTGGTACAAATTGAAGAATCGTGAGTCATGACATAGGATTGAGAGTGTCACGGGTGCTTCCACTGAAATGAATGCAAAAAAAGTTGGGGGGTGGGGTGGGGGGTAGTGGGTAGGGTGGTTTATAGGGGTGGTGGGGGTGTTCACAAGAAAGAATTTTGGCCACAAAGACAACTTTTAATAAGATTATTTAATTAAGACAACTATCGAAAACCATCTCTGAATATTTCGTATTTTTGAATTAGTAAAATCAGTGATAATCTTAAAAATATATTTTTTTACTTGATTAGCTGAACTTACATACACGCTCGATCTTGTAACATGAGGGAAATATATCCCTAATTTTCATTTGTTTAAGAATGTCTTTAACACTTCTCTCGATTTGTCATTAAGAGACTCATATTTTTACTAAAGTCTAAAACCATTTGTTATGTCATTGATTAGATCGGGAGTGTATCTAAGTTTAGCTAAATAAAGGTGTGTTTTTTAGTCTGTCAATAATTCAGAGACGAAACTAATAATTTGCGTTGAATTAAGATTATTTTCAACGCTTGTCTTTTTAATTAATATATATACATAAGAATTTATTTTTATTTTTATTTTTTTACCCTCTTTTGCTATTTTTTTGTTGTTTGTTAGCTCCCGTGAGTGTTCTTTCTGTTGTTGTATGTATGGAAAGTGAATATATTCCCATGAGTAAAATGATTTTGTTTATTTTTTATTTTGTTATTTTTACTATTTTAGCTTAAAGTAATTGCCTTTTCATAATTAATTAAATAGCCACCATACAGTAAAATAACATATTAATCAAAGTCTCCTGTATAATACATTTTATTGCTTATTTATGGAAAATTTAGCTAATATTCACTCAACGTTTCATTAAAAACATCAGAAAAATCTCATCAAATCTTACTTCGTATCAAACACTACAAATATAACGTAAGTTATATTTTAAATTTCAAAATAACGAAATTGTATTCACGCACTAAATACGAATCTGTTAAATCAAACATGTATATATTTGATGGGGACCAAATTTATTTACTTTTATTAAATTTAAGGGACCAAACTAGTCATGGATTTATTTAAAGTCATATTTTAACCTACCACAAAAAAAAAAGAAAAAAAAAGAGATTATTTTTGTTATTATATAGCATGATGAACAAAAAGAGAAATTCAAATGCTAATGGATGATTAGAAAAGAACAATAATATTAGAATATAGTAGTTGGAAAAGTAAAAAGACTAGGATATTCATAGTAGGTATTAAATAATATAAAAGGTACTGTTCTTTTATTTTAAAAAAGAGTATAATTTACTGTTCGGTTTGCGATCGATTAATTTAAATTTATTAATTTAAATTTATATGGTCTAAAACTCACTAAATGGAAGACATTTTTTTATTTGGATTTTTTTTTATTTTAAATTCAAATTGAAAACCTCCAAAGGTTGTTATTTAGTCTAATACAGTTTTGAAGATAAAATTTAGATGTAAAATAAATAAACTTAACGTGTCTAAATTCTTTTCAAAAGGATTAAATACATCAGTTGATATAGACGACTTCTGTTTTTTCGTTGGTCTGTAAACTTGACCTAACGAGCTTAAGAGAGGATTGACATTTCAACTTTTAACTACAATTTAAAATAATCGTCAAGATTGAAGCTCGATTAGAAAGTAAAAGTCTAAAACCAAAATAATGTCAAATCAAAAATTAAATGAAGGACAAAGTACTAAAATTTAATAATTTTTCTAATCCTTAATGAAGCCTTTAATTAAAATAACTTTTTATGGTTAAACTATTTTGGAGAAAGGAGACAAAGTATTGGAATGATATTAGATTCTAAATGAAGTTAGGAACTTATTTATTAGATTATAAAAAGAAAAACTTTGTACACTAAATTCTCATTATGTGTAAAGTTTGGACTACATCACAAAGATTTATTAATTAGATTATGTGTAAAATATATGGATGTTCTTCGTTATATTTCTGGAATATTAATGTGTTTGTTCTGTAAAAACTAGAGCATATATACTCTTTATGCAAACAGACATACACATGTTATAATATTATTAATCGATTTAATATTTTTATTTATATCATATCGACGGAAAAGCTTACGCCACGTGTTTCTATTTAGTCTTCCGATAGAATGAAGAGCATATATGCTCTAGTTTTTGAATGGCATGGACATCAATATTTCAAAAATCTGACGTAAGATATCTGCATATCATTTATGGCTATTCGAATATATTTATCTTTTTCCATAAAAAATAATTCAATGAACTAAGATCGACGAAAAAACTTATTTTATGTGTTCATATTTAGTCTTCCCTTAGCGCGAGACAACGAAATCTAGAGCACAAAAAGGCAAGAATTTGGTTACCTTTTTGTGAATTTTTGGTAGCCAATCATTTCTCTCGACTCTTGGAATTATCTAAAAACTACTTTCACGGGTGGAAAAATTATACCAATCATATATGTATGTATGTATATATATATGTATATATATATATTTGGCATTTTTCATAAAATAAAAAATCAATTTAAAAATGATATCCATTGAAAAAGGACTTCCACTATTGTTTTTTTGCCACCATATCCAGCACCAAAGCAAATTTAAATAATCGAGAGTCGATTTGGATCAGCTGATAAATTTTAAATACTGGATATTGAGATTCTTATTAAATATAAAGGGTACGTACATTCCATTACAACCCTTGGTATCTACCTCACTATGCGTCTTGCATTATAAATATATAATTTTTTAAAAATGATAAAGATTGTTTATTTTATTTAATAAAATCAAACTTTTAGATTGATCGCACAATTCAATACGATAATTATATTAAACTATCGGTCATTGTTATAATTTGTGGGCTGTGGCAAGCCCATTTATTGAAAACTTCTGATGATCCATTAAGGCCCAATATTATGAGTGAAGCCCAATACAAGTATACAACATATATATCAGGCCCAATATTGTCCAGCTTTAACACTCAATCTCTTAAATAATAATAAAAACATGGAAAAATTACATAAATTAATACATTATAAAAAATAATTATTAATTTTAGCGATATCTCTTGCTTATTATCATTTATAGCAATGATGTGTTAAATCTATAATATGTATTAGAAGTGAATTATGTATGCAATATATATGAATTTTAATTGTTTTTTTTTTTGAAATATATCATGTTTGTTTGGTAAAAAATTGTCATATTGTATTATAAGTGTATTAAAATGTGTGATAAATGTATTATTCATCATTAAAATTTGTATTAAATGTGAATAATAAATTGTTCTTTGTAAGATGTATTAAACTTGTATTATAATTAAATTAAAAGTGATCAAATGAAAAAAAGTAATCATTGCTATAAATGGTAAATATTTTTTTTATTATAGTATATTTATGTAAGTTTTCATTATATTGAATTTCATTGTACATTTTTCTGATTTATAAATAAATACCCCCCCCCCCCCAAATAAACTCTTAATAAATTTAGAAAAAAATTGACTTCATTTCTTAATATACCAAGAATTATAGATAATAAAAGCCACTGAAATTTCCATCTCTTCCTTAATAATCCTATATCCAAATTGGTGACAAAATTTTCAACAAATACATGATCAGAATAATAAAATAAAGCAAATTAATTGTCCCATTAAGATATTCTAAAAAATTTATTTTTATTGTTATATATAAGGATTATAATTAGATCTTGAAATGATTTTGTAAGGAATAAGCTGAGTCAATATACTACATGGAAGACTTATTGTTCTCACAATTATATTGAATATGTTCCTGCTATTAAGGGGAGATTAGTTTATTTGTCTAACGAGGATAAAAGAATTATTAAAATCCATAAATAATAACTTTTCAACCGTTATAATTACGAAATTGTTATGTTATAGAGTTTTAAATTCAATATATGAAACTCGATGATATTATCATAAAGTTTCACTAATATAATTTAGAATTCCATCATAGTGCGTCTTGTAAAGTGAAATGCCTTTAAATTATGTGTCAGTTTATAGTTTGACTTGAAAATTTCCTTGTTATTAATATTTTGATTCAAAATATATCCTTGTCGTCAATACTTTGGTTCAAAAATATTTTTATAATTACTAAATGTGTCAAAAATATTCTTTTCTAATTAAATATATTATTGTTTTTCTTTTTTAAATATATGTTCTTTTCAATCATATTATGCAAATACCCCCCAACCCCACCCCTCTTAGTGACACACACATATTTCCAAGAATCCAACTATTTCTATATGAGAGATTCTGAAACTACCTTCAAAAAAATAAAAATAAAAAAAATCACTCAAATAAAATGGTTATTTACCTATCATTTTTGTCCATTTTTCATGCCTAAACAACCCTCCAAAATACAGAGTCTTGACATTATTAAACTCACTATAACATAAAGAACTCAACTTTCTTGCTCAAACTTCACCTTAAAACCATTTCCATCACAAAAAAATAAAAATCAAGAATCTATGACCAAATTTCAAGAAACTAAAATCAGATGACAAAGTTAACATTTTTCACCTTGATAGTACTAGCCACTTCAATTTCCTTCATTTTCTTGGAAACCCCACCAAAATCTTACTATCATACTTTGTTCATATCTGATTCTTTTTCTGATAATTCCTCCATAGCAAATCATCTCTATACCCTAACTAAGAGACCCCATGTTGCTGGTTCACAAGCTAATGTTGATGCAGCAGCTTATGTTTTGTCAATTTTCACTTCTTGTAACATACCATCACATATAACATCCTATGATGTTGCCTTAACTTATCCTGTCTCAAGGTCTTTAACCCTAAAATCTTCAGAAAAAACAATAAAGTTTGGTCTTTTTCAAGTGATTTATGATGGCGATCCATATGCAGAGGTGGCTAATGAAGTACTACCTACCTTTCATGCTTATGCTAGATCAGGTATTGTTAATTGTCCTTTCGTTTCTATTTGTTTGTCTGATTTTAACCTGGCACGGAGTTTAAGGTAGTATAGAGTACTTTTGAATCTCGTGGTCTTACTTTCGTTTCAATTTATTTGTCTGATTTTAACTTGGCTCGGAGTTTAAGGTAGAGTACTTTTGAATCTCGTGGTCTTATAATGTATTACCTAGCTTTCATGCTTATGGTAGATCAAGTATTGTTAATTGACATACTCACGGAGTGTAAGACAGTAAAGATTACTTTTGAATCTTGTGGTTTTATACTAAACATACCTAGAATGTATCGAAATGCACTTTAATTGTGTAGTCTTAAAAATGTCTTAGGGGAAGTTAGAGTTGACAAAAAAGGAAAGAGATATTCTTTTGGAAAATGACGGAAAGGAAATTAAGGCAAACAAGTTGAAACGGAAGGGGTATAAAATACATTCAAGTCTTTTGAATTTACTTAATGGTTTATGAATCTTGAAATTGAGTTTGAAGGATTTTGTTTTAGTTTAATTTCATCCTTGATATGATAGCTAGATAGTGTTGGTTTCTTTGAAAAATCATAAGCAATTATATTGAAAAGCATTTGAGAGAGATCATTGATCATAGGGTGAAATCGTAGAGTCCAGAATAGAATAGCGACATTCTTGAATGTTGCCTCTTGTGTAGCTTGGTTGAATTCGGGAGATAGTACTGTTAATATTCTTCCGATTGCTCGTGAAAGAGACTTTTTAACAATCTTCAAAAAATATGGTTATGTTAAGTCTAGCAACAAGTGTCATTTTTGGTTTTGCAGTATAATTATCGTTTGTGAAGGCTACCTCGTATCTAGCTTAGTTGAATCCCATAGATAGTATTGTTACTGTTCTCCAGTTTGCTCGTGAAAGAGACTTCAACTAACTATCCTCTAGAAACATGGCTACGTTAAGTCAAAACAAGTGTCATTTTGGCAACGTTAAGTCAAATCTAAATTTAGAAAAGTGTCACTCTTGTTGGAACAGACTAAAAAACGAAACAATTCATGTTACATGGAACAACTCTTCTCTATTTTCTCTATTGAACTGTAAAAACTAAAAAGCACTTTATAGTAGTGACAGATTCATCAACAACATATGACTAGTCAATGGGGAAAACGAAGGCTAACCTGTTTTGGTTGTTTTGACTAGCTAGAACCGATAAGTTCTTTCAGTGCACTTTGATCCTTCTTACAGAAACTATTCTTTGTATAAGTTATGATGGAATATGAGAAAAACTTAGCTTGAAAGTGATTATCGGAACTGACCGTCATTTGTTTATGTCATCTGGTTCACCCTTTCCTTTAGAAAGAAAAATGAGTAGTAGTCTACACGTCAATTTGGGATTGTTGAATGATTGTAAGTTCTGCAGGGACAACAAGTCATAAGCACAATCCAAAATGTTATTGGAGTTATAGAAGGAGAACAAGAACCTGATCGGTACGCCTCTCTAACTTTCAACTTTTCATGAGTTATTTGACATCACTTCAGCCAGGAAATGCATACTATATATATAATTGACCTCAACTAGTCTGGGTTCGAGGCTTAGTTGGTCATTTGAATGATTGACGAGTTGGGGCCGGCTACCATAAAACAAAGGAATAGTTATAGATATCTGCTAGGAAATGTTTGTGTTGCTCAAGGGAAGATGTGTCCAGGTTTGTTATACTAGGTAATCATCGTGATGCGTGGACATTTGGAGCTGTTGATCCGAATAGTGGCACAGCATCCCTACTTGAGGTATTATTTCTCCAGAGAACTTACCTAAAACGTCAAGGTTCTAGATTTCATGAATCAAATATATACATACATATATAAACTGACGGTTACCTGGTTTACTTGTGAAATACAGATTGCACAAAGGCTCGAAAAGCTGCAAAAGAGAGGGTGAAGACCGCGAAGAACAATCATCTTATGCAACTGGGACGCTGAGGAGTATGGCCTGGTGATCCTTCATCTTTTCTCTTAGATAAACACGAGCATATTCGTATAACAAACAAAGCTTTTACACGAGAATATAAACTGACATTAGCTAAACGTTAACAACCTGCATTTCAGATAGGTTCAACAGAATGGGTTGAAGAAAAATAGGGAAATGCTAGCTGCAAGGGTCGTTGCCTACTTGAACGTTGATTGCGCTGTTCAAGCTGGAGATTTTCGAGCCTCTGCAACACCACAGCTCGATGAACTAATCATACTAAATGCTCAGCAGGTATTGATCCTGACTACCCCAAAAAAACAGTCTAGTTAAGTACACGAAAGCATCAACAACATTCCACATTTTATAGTGTTTGCTAATCATTTCGAACTCGTTTTCTTATATGCAACTAGTTATGGTAACTTCTGACTTATCTTAAACTAACTTCTTCCCGGTAGGTTCAAGATCCTGATAACTCCTCACAAACGATTTACGAGTCCTGGCTCGCCTCTGGCAACGTTACAACAGTAAAGGTGAGAGTGGTAAAGTGCTTGCCTAAGTTTAGATATCATCTTAATCGGTACCTTAATGTTTCGTTTAAAAACTTACAACTTTGAAAAAGATCAGACAGACTAATCCAGATTATCTGTTTTCATGTAGCTCGGCAGATTAGGAGGAGCTGGATCCAATTACGCGGCATTTGTTCAACACATTGGGTCTCCAACACTAGACATGTCTTTTGGAGAAGGTAACAAGATATTAGTTACCTTAAAAAGCATGTTCAGTTATTTTTCGAGTTTGTAATTGCAGAAACTGTTTAAAGTATAGGCATTCGATATTTCGTTTGCAGGTTACCCCGTATACCACTCGATGTACGATGACTTTGTTTGGATGAAGAAATTTGGAGACCCGATGTTTCATAGGCATGTAGCAGGTTTGTTTCGCCTTTTTTCGAGATTGCTATATGCTGCATTGTTCCCATTATATACTAAAACTTGCTATTGAGTAGAAAAGCAAATGTAGATGACAAATTTAAGATGTCACATACAGTTATTTAACGTCATTTATCAAGCACATTATATTGCTCGGACAGGTAAAAAATGTTGTTGGATCCGTATCAGTATCAGATACTCAAAAGTAGTGTATTTTTCGAGGATCCGGAATGCAACAACATTTTTGCCTTTTAATTACCTATTGTACGCGTATTGTTGAATCGTCAGCTTAGCTACAAACGAAATGTCACTAATGTTTTCAATATTTGTGAAACAGAAAAGTGCAGAATACTTGGAAGCTGAGATATCAGACAAGGGCATTTCACTTGTTCCTTTGTATGCTTCTATTGAAAAACTCAGAAAAGCAGCCACAGGAATTAAGAACGACATAAAGGTACGACACGAGTTTTATCTATAGAATGTCCGATTTGTAACAGCGTAAGCTTTTAGATGAGTTGATCACATAATTTAAGAGTAAACATACTTAAGATTGCTCACGTGGATTTAACTTGTAGGCACTCAAAGCAAAAAGAAGTCGTGGATCAGTGAGAGAGTTGAACGATAGACTAATAATGACAGAACGGGCATTTACAGACAGGGACGGGCTTTCGTCAAGGACATGGTACAAACATTTGGTAAGAAGTCGTCTTTGAGTCCTGCTCTGATACCAAATGATATCACGTAGTTATTCATTTCATGACAAATTGGATCTAATTACAACTTTTTACTCAGATTTACGCACCAGCAAAACACAATGATTATGGATTTAATTCATTCCCCGGTATATCTGACGCTATTGAGAATGCCAAGAGCCTGAATTCTTCAGACTCGTGGTACTCTGTACAACATGAAGTTTGGCGAGTTGCTCGAGCCATCACACAAGCATCACTAGTCCTCAGCGGTAGACTAACGTGAATCTTTGTATTATTTGTGAAAATATCATTCGGAATTCTCTTCCTCAAAAAAAATGTCTATCAAGTGATCCCTACGGTCAATGTCTCCACTTTTCACGAAGTTGATTCTTATGAACAACTTAGCACACAGAAATGACACATGTACATATCAAAACTTTGTGTTTGTTAATGTTTATGATAAAATTTACCTATAATAAATCTATAAACGCCCTAATTATGTAAATATTTTTATATTCGTCAATACATAAAACTTAAATCATAAAATATCAATCAAAACTGTGTGTTTGAAATGTAGAGTGGCATTTATCAAAACCCTTTGAGCTAACAAGTATTTGGGAGTTCATTTTTATATGATTTAAGTGGTTTTTAATTTGCCGGACTACAATGTAATACTCTCTGAAATTTACTGATTTGATTAATTTCAATTTGAATTTGAAAATATTATATCATTTTTTACCCTAGGAACTTCATTTCCATACTTCAAACTCCTATTTGCATTTAGCTTCGTAATATATTTATTCGATTAATTCAAATTATTTTTTACGTAAAAAAATTTAACACTCCTCATGAAAAGATCAATACTTTATGATAGGGATAAATTTTCGTAATTCAAATTCAAAGACATCTAATTATAACAACAATAACAAGTAAATAATTTTTCACAAGTGAAATTTAAAAAAGTTCGACTATACCTAAACCGTACTACTCTTGATTACCTTGATATCAAATAATATCTTCTCAATTTATGAATTTCAAATTCACCCAACTCAAATTCGAGATATCTAACAAATACTATAATAAATACATAAATAATGTGATTTTACTAGTGAAATTTAGAGAAAATACGGTGGTGTCTATGAATAACATATACGGGCATTCTCTAGATCTAACATCCTCTATCAACCAAATTTTTTTTTTTATTGATCGATGCTAACTCACCTACTCCTACCTTATCCATTAAGGCCGATGCCTTATTCCCCGTCCTATTACTCATTCCTAACTCCCCTTACAAGTGAAATCTCGAGAAGGTAAACCGTTCCATACCTTACCCCTAACTTGACTATTTTCGATATATCCTTCGCTTACATATAAGCTTTTTAAAAACCCGAGATATTTAACTAAAGAGACTAAAATAAAATATATCTAATGCATGCAATAAAACAAAATAATATCTAGAGGGAAAAAAATAAATTTTTATTTATCAAAACAAAAAGTTAATACAACACAGATAACAGATCTTCCCTTCCATTTCATTCCCAATTTTCCCCTCTAAATTCTGCATAAAATCACCAAATTCTTCAATATTTACATCAACAATTCAAATCATTCGAAATGCAAATCTACGATTCATCAATCGAATTCTCCTCCGGTTCATCAAAATTAGGGTCATTTGCGTCGACAACAACAGCAGCATCAGCTTCTTCTTTCTTAGAAGAATAACTTCCGTCGCCGGCCCAAGTAAACTTTCCACCATGGCCGCCTTTCTTCGGAGATCCACTCATTCCGGTGGCCGATCGCCGGTCTTTTCTCGCATCTTGGCTTGATTTGGGGGTAATTTTGGAACTTTTTGATGTGTTTTTCATAGTGACTTTATTTTTTTTCAGAGAGATTTGTGTGTGTGAATTAATGGGGTTTTGGGGGAGATTATATATAGAGGAAAATGATATGAAATTTACTTTTTGGTCCTTTAAGTATTGATAAGTATCAATTTTAGTCCTTGTAATATTGGATTAATTGAAGTGTGTATTTAGGTAGAAACTAGAAAACATGTAACAAGGAATTGATATATAATTAGGATTTATAAGTTTGGTATTTTGATATTTATTTTTAATTGTTTAAATTGAATTTTTGATATATAGAATTAAATATTGTACACATATTGTAACTTTAATAATAATACATATTTGTTTAATATAAAGGGAGATAATTCTATACGTATCTGTTTAATATGAAAGGAGACAATTCTATAAAATTCGATGGATTTCTTATTTATTTTCTTGCGTTCAGTGAATAAATAAAAATATACTTTATTCTAAAAATATTTATGTGTAATATAACAAAATATTTAAGGAATGGAGAGTGAAGGTTTGAGGATGATGATATGTGGAGTGGTCAAGATTGAACGTTCGAACGTTAGATAAATAACAAACAAATAATAAATTTAAAATATCATATATAAAATTTAATTATCCTAATTTCATTCGATAAGTAACGTTTTTCTTACTAAGAAACTTGTTTTTTTCTAAATTGATCAATCAAAAATAAGAAATATGTAAAAATATATTGTTATCGAATTTAGCATAACAATATAAAATAACATAAAAAGTAATAAGTAATTAAATGATATACAGAGAGAGAGATATAAAGGATTAGAAGTGCATGTTTCAATTACTTGAAAGTCAAATTTAAATAAAGTAAAATATTGTAGGGACTAAAATAAAAAATAATTAATAGCTAAGAGACTAATAATTATATTAATATTTGGTTCTATCACGTGACTTTGGCATGTGCATTGGATAATTGGATAAGAACAAACTGTGGATTGTTATAAACAGGGGACTGTACAATGACTACAAATAAATACTCCAAATTAATTATCTAATTTATATATATATGTACATAAAAACTTTATATTCTTTTCGTCGATAATATATATCGAGTAACTTTATTGATTAAGATTTGATTAAGAAAGCGAAATATTTTATACCAAAATTTATAGATCATGACTTTATCAACTAAGATAAGCTAGATAAAAGAAGTCACTCAATAATATATTAAATTTTTAATTTTATATTAATAGTTTACTATCTTTTATCATCTGATATGAGCGCAAGTGAAGAATGAAAAATCATATAATCGATCTTCACTTATATGGATTCAAGTTTTGTTATCGGTGTTATTATTGAATTAATTCACTAGTTTTTATCGTTTTAAAATCACATTTGATATTTTAGGAGTAAAGTGGAATTTAATTTTTTTTAAAATGTGTGTTGAATTGTTAGGATTGGTCCACGTGTAGCTATTTGAGTGTTTAATATCTCTCGTAGTTAAATACATTAAAATCAGAGTTAAATTTTTTAAATATAACATTTAAAATAGTAATATATGTGAATTGATTTGTGAAAACTCAACAATATTTTTGTATATATAATCTTGAATTTCAACTTAAAGTTATGTTTTACAAAATTAACTCTATGCGACATGATTTCAAACATAAATATTTAAAATTAATATAATTTAATCAAGTAAATAAATTGAAATATGTATGAAAAAATAAAAGATACATAACTATTTCAAGTTTGATCTTCAAAACAAAAACATATTAAGTTTAATTGTAATTGTCGTTTATAAGAAAACGCAATGATAAAATGATCATAATTGAGTATTCTTTTGTATATCAATATATTTTCTTAATATATTTCTCTATGATTTCATATTTTGTAGTGAAAATTCTAATTATATCTTTGAATGTATTTTATAATTATCAAAATTGATTACAAGTTAAGTACTTTTTTAAAAAAAATTAAATTTTACTTTGTGTAACGGGCAAGAAAAAAATTCCTTGCAAATGAAGGGTCAAAATTCAAATAGGAAAATCTCTATATATATATAAAAAAACATATAGGTCAAAAGGAGTTGACTAGATCAATTTATTATGGCACCTATAGTTTAACTTAAATGATAATTTTAGAAAACATTCTTAAAGTGATTTTTTTTATAAAAATAAAATATTTGATATTTATATTAAGATTGATGAAGTTTAAATTTACATCACAATGTAAGTAAAAATCACTTCAATTATCTTAAAAGAATCAATCTAATCCGTAATCAATTTACGAGTAACACATTATTATCTTAACTAATTCAATTTATCAACACGGGTTGTGGCACACTTGTGAGAGTACTCCGCCTTTAGTCAAAGATCTCGGATTCAAACCTTGAGTTTGGAGAAAATTTTGTTGGAGCGCCACTCGCAAATGAACTCAAATTTACTCGGAATTTCAATGTAGGCTCCAGACATCGGATGATTTATTTTTTTAAAAAAACTAATTCAATTCGTCTCAAATCATCAATCGTGTTTATTTTTACACTTCCTTAAAAATTAATAATTAGGACTTTTTTTTTAATTATTTTACTCTTATTTATGCTTTTAAGATATAGTTTCTCTATATTAAATATTACTCTAGGTATTTATAATTTCAAAAACATTTACTATGAAAAATAACATGAGAAAATATAATTAATTTTATCATAACTTCTAAAGTGATATATTACGAAACAACTTTTTTTTGTTTTTTAAAAGAAACAAAACAGATAATTTGAAATAAGTTGGTAAAAATATCAAATGAGTCACGAAAATGACCATCAAAGGTTGTGACGTAGCAAACATGAGATCAAGTGTCTCAATTTTCTTTGATAGGAGTGCTTTCTAAAATGAACCATATACAATGTGAATCTCGACCAATCGGACTCCAATAAGGGTACCAAATCAGATATCTCTATTTTCTTTGATAGGAGTGCTTTCTAAAATGAACCAACCATATACAATGTGAATTTCGACCAGTCGAACTCCAATAAGAGTACCAAATCAGATGTCTCAATTTTCTTTAATAGGAGTGCTTTCTAAAATGAACCATATACTGAATCTCGGCCAGTCGAACTCCAATAAGAGTATCAAATCAAATGTCTCGATTTTATTTGATATGAGTGATTTTCTCGAATAAACCATATATAATGTAAATCTAGATTAATCGAACTCTAATACAAGTATGAGGACGAACCCCCCTCCCCCCCAAAAAAAAGAAGTCACATGATGACGTGGCATTTTCTCATAGGCAAATGCAAGAAAGGGCCAAAATTGCCAAATTGATGCCCTAGCTCCTATCCTAAATCCCTAAAAAAAACCCTAAAGACCAAAAGCCCCACAAAAAAAAAGAAAAGAGAAAAAATAAAAACCCAAACACTACTTATAATCAAGCTTTATAAAGAATATGAATAGCTTCGCCATTTCCCTCAAAATTCCACCATTACTTTCACTTTCTCCGCCTCCATCAGCTAAGCTTCTAAACCCCAATTTCTCTCCTTTTCTCCTCCATACCCGTAAGCTTCGAATCTCAGTTTCTTGGGTTTTTTTAAATTTTTTTTTGGTGTTGTTCGCTAGATGGGATAATGTTATATTGTTATTTGTTTGGCCATTTTTAATTGTAAAGTTTGATGCTTTTA